CTAAAGAAAATATAAACTACAGGAACTGATTTCATATCCTATTTTTATTGAGTTATAAATATATTAACTATTTATATACACAGCTATCAACACATACTATTAAAACAGAGAGAAAGTTTCTATACGAGTATATTTATTGTATTTTTAGTATAGCTACTTATGTAACCCTGACAGCTGAACATTAGCTCCCTAGCGACCGAATTACTCTTCAAGGAAAAATACGAATCGTTCCTCCCCCTTTTTTGTACACGATAATACCCGTTTTTTTTGTTATCTGCCTATACTGATGTTCCTTAATGCTCCCTGTGTAGTTATTGTTGTTGAGTTTCCCCTTGTTTCTTTTCTCCCGTTTTCTGTGTCAGTTCTTTATGGTTTTAAATTTGTTATCACTTTTTCTTTCTCTTATCGTTTTCTTTCGTGTTTTTTTTCATATCGTTTATTTTTATCTATTTTTGTTATGTTTCTCTCTTATGTTATTCCATTCGAACTTTAAGGATTTTTTTATTGTAATGTCTTTTTCGTCGTCTTAATTAGCGTTTCTCTCTCTCTCTCTCTCTCTCTCTCTCTCTCTCTCTCTCTCTTTCTTTACATTAATTTTCGATGCTAATTGCCCTGTAATTATTCGCACACTTTCTTACATCACTACCTCCCTTTGCAGTTATTTATTATTCTTTTTCTCTATCTATCTTTCTTTCTGTCTGTCCGTCTGATTTCTAATCTTTACTACTAATCTACCTGGCTCTCTTTAATTATGTGCTATACGCCATTTATCTTTCTATATCATTATTTCCTTCAATTCTTTATTTTTCTATCTCCTTCTTCTTATCCCCTAATCTTTGCTATTGATCAGTGTACACTTATTTTGCTCCTCCCCCCTCGTCTCTCTCTCTCTCTCTCTCTCTCTCTCTCTCTCTCTTCCTCTAATCTGTACAGCCGATCAGATTGTTTACAGGCCGGTAGAGAGACCACAAGAAGCGCATTAGCTCTGTTGCCACCACCCTCTACTATCTGGTAAGAGGAGAACCTTCTTGCTGAGGGAGTAACTTGCCTCCGTCACCCTACGTTTGGCTCAGTCGCTACGGTCCACTCCATCCACCTGGCTAGAAGGAGGGAGGGAGAGGGGGAGGGACAGGTAAGGGAGGAAGGTAAAGAGAGTGAGTGGTTTGAGGGAAGGAGGGTGTTTGGATGGAGGTAAGGAGAGTGAGTGTTTATAGGGAGGGATGGAGGGAGGAAGGGAGGGACGGAGGGAGGAAGGGAGGGAAGGAAGGAGGGAGAGAGGGTGAATTTAGTTGGAGGAAAGGTTTAAGGATGTAGAGAAAGACAGAGAAAAAAATTGGAAAGACAAAATTGGTGAGACGCAGAAAGATAGGGAGAGATAAATATGTCTTGAAAAAAACCCAGAATAAAATAGGAGAAAAAATAGACAGATATAGAGACTGACACACACACGCACACACACACACACACACACACACACACACACACACACACACACCAGAGGACATAATCTTACACTCAGCTGACACTCGCTAAGTGGCTGGGACCAAGTGACAAAAAAATTGACACACCAACACCATATTACAGCCTTCTTCTTCCTTCCTTCCACTTCCCTCCTCTCTCCTCCATTACCTTTATCTCTCTCCTCCCTTCTCTTTCACACCGATGCCAAGTTACTCCCCTCCTCTTCCTTCTTCTTTCCTCGCTTCTTCTCCCCTTCTCTCTACTTGCTTTCTCTCACCTCCTCCCTCCTCCTCCTCCTCTCTCTCCCCTTCCCTTCCCTTCCCTTCCCTCCCTCCTCTCTTCCGCCAGGGATATAGCTTCCCAATTCTCTTATACATAATAACACATAACACTTTAAAACAACAGTTAATAATCAGTATTAAAAGAACTCATTTGCTAGTTAATCGTGTCATTAAGGATCTTCTACACTACTGAGATAAAACTCCCTCGTTCTCTCTACTACTACAGCGATATATTACAAGTATCTCGTATAAATATATTGTACTTATGTCTATAATTAGTACTACTTTACTAGGCTTAAGTGCGTCGTTAATAGTGATGATGCTACCGCCACCTGCAGGTAAGTGTGGCTGGATTTTTTAGAGTTAAACTTGTACTTTATACTTAAATATGTTTAATATATTTAGATCATGTTTGGATAATACTCTGTACTTAATCATGTTATTAATACTGTACATAACAAGGTACAGTATACCTAACCTAACCTAACCTAACCTAACCTAACCTAACCTTATATGCTAACGTTTCTGAGTATCTGATAATTAATAATCTGTTGTGTCTTTCTATATAATTAGTCTAGAGGCTAATTAAATACCTAAATCTGTGTTATTTTTCTTATATTTCCCATCAACAGTTCAATTATATTAAGCTATTAAGTTTATTTTATCATCACTACCTGGGAATTACTACACCTGTATATAAACGTGCTATATATTTACTAATCTACCTGGATAACTTTTCTGATACTGTGATAACTTTTCATATTCGTAAACAACATCTGAGTGACAAATAAAGGACAATGGTACTTTTTACAACATTGACATTTGATCATAGTTCGTGTATATAATGTACTGGTATAGTGGTGTGGCTAGTGCGGAGGTTCACTTCTTTTTAATGGCGCTCGTAAAGTATTTTA